AATTATTTCTTACATTTCCTTTCTCAGTCAGATCCACTGGAATGCAGGTGCGAAACTCATTCTTTTGGGTCTATTCTCTTAGACACCGGACTTTCTGCCTTCAAACAGAGGGTGCTACCCCCACCCCCAACAGAAGGGAAGCCCCTGCTTGACGTGGGGAGGGGGTGATGTCATCTGGTGGGAGGAAAACACTATTTTGATCTCTTCACTCTCCGAGGCCGCTGCGGGTGGCGCGGCTCTTGCCGCAAAGGTGTCTTCCCAGTGAGGGAGCAGTTCGGCAGCTGTGGTGACCACGGCCATCAGACGTAGCTCAGCGCACAGGGCGGGAGTCGGGGCGTGTGGTCCCGCGTGGACTCCCGCGGACAGCGTGGCACCCGGGGGCAGTGAGTGCCTCGTTTAACGGGAAGGAGATAAAAGCTCAATCATAGCTAACTAACACAGTTTTCTAGATAATCCCGGGGAAGCCCAGAAGCAGCCCAGCAGACCTGCTTCTTTCTCTGAGCGATGCTTCCGCAGCACAGGCGGGATTTAGTCTGCACCAGTAGGAGCGGTGAGGCATTGGCAGGAACGTTATAATCACGCTCGGCAGGAGGGCTTCTCCTAAGTAGATGCTGATGCTAGAAACATCTCTCCCTTGCTAAAAAAGAATGCAAGACTGGCCCCTTAGGCCACCAGGGGGCAGTCTGAGCGCTGTCACTGCTGAGGCACACGTTCAGGCCCCGGCCCTGAAGTGACCACAGGGCGCAGCAGACCTCTCCTGTCTCCCCGCTGCTCCCCTCAGCAGTGGATTTCAGTAGATCCGCCTGTTCTGCCCCCCACTCAGTCTCCGATGAATCCTCTTACCTCCCCCCAAACTTCTGGCCCATATTGCATTTCTTCTATGCAGAAAAAAAAAGAGCAAGGACTAGGCATCCACTGTTAACTCTTCCTCATGGGACTCCGTGGTCATCGTGGGGTGAAGGGGCTGACCCTCAGGTCGCGGGCTACTGCGTGCAGGGTGTGGCCTTGTCTTTGGCCTCCTGCCTGCTAGACCAGGGCTGGGGCTTTGGAAGCCAGAAGATTTCACACTCTGTTCACTAGGAAATAGTTTTTGAGCATACCATTGTTTGAATATCGGGGTGTTACCCCGCTGCCCTGACAAGCGACATCATCACAAAACGTCTGGTCACTCAGAAGCCCGACCTATCGGAGCTCTGTGTTTGCCATTGTAAAAGTTGGGGATCTTTTTGCAAAAGTTTGGAAAAGCGATTCTTGATTCCAGATCGCATCGTGACCACAAGATGTAATTGCACCTCATCACACGTTGCTGTGCCTGGAGCCATCCGCTCACGATGAGAAGGTGCCCACCAAGCGCCACTGCAGCAAGGTTGTGATTCTGAAATTTAAATAGTCAGAAATCATTGAACGAGCAGATGGTGTCAAGGCGAAGAGCCGGTGCGTGTCCGGAGTGCAGCAGGTTTTGGCTTAGGGTGGGCGTGGAGGGCTGAAGGGAGAGGAAGGCATGATGGTGAATACGCATTTCCACACCAAGAAGTGTCACCCGCCCAAGGGCCCAGCACTGCAAAATGCACTGCAACATTGTCCAGCCTCAGGCCAGCGGCCGCCCACACGGGCCTCGTCCAGCGTCCGGCCAGCAGCCGCCCGCGCAGCCTCGAGACGGTGCTGCCGACTTGCCGTCCGGTGGAGCACGCTCATGTTCCCTCCGGTCCTGTGAGGCGGCCGAGCCTGTTCAGTGTCACACACGCTCGCAGTCCCAGTGACTGAGGACGTCTTGCCTCAAGCTGCATTTTCTGCCCTTCACATGAATCCTAGGAAGTCCTCTTTCATTCATAAGAGCCCTTGGCTCTCAAAAGAAAGTGTCTTGTTTCTTTCTGGTGTATACAGCAATACTAGATTTTTTTTAAAGCTCAACATTTTAATGCAAATGTGTGGATGAAAATGTCTGAAAGAGCAGTGATGGACGGTGCTCAGCCTGGCTACGAGGTGTCTGAAATCCAGAATGCGTGGCCTGGGCTGTGCGCTGGCGGCTGGCCTGCGACTGACTGGAGCTTACCAAAGTGTTTCCCATGCTCGGTGCCCCGCTCAGGTCTGCTCTGCTGTGTTTCTGTGCCTCTCAGCCGCAGCTGGGGCGGGCCCGCGAGCCCTCAGTGTGTGTGGGATGCACAGGCCGAGGCAAGGTGAGGACGCTGGTTTCGTCACCCGGCTGCTCCCTCTCACCCAGTGGCTGAGGGCTCCTCCGTGCCATGGAGGAGCCATCCATTCTGGACATTTCTTGATATTGCATATTCTGGGCTCGCAAATTGCAGGTGGACTCGGTTGGCAGCAGCACAGCTGGGGCCGGAAGGGATCATGCCCAGGGCAGTTAGCTGGGCAGAGAAAGAAAAACTACCGGATGGTTCCTCTCAGAGGAGGAACGGAGGGGACCCAAGTAGGATTTGGGGGAGTAAGATTGTAACAAAGTCAAAACTAAAATGAACAGGCGGCTATAAGCCAGAGATATTCGTGGGGAGGGAGGAGGAAATTGGATCCAAATAGGAGTGGAAAGAGCAGGAGGGACCACGGTGTTGGTGGACTGGTGACTCGTGGTGGGAGCTTCTTGGGGACCGTACACGAGATGATAAAGCGTACATTGTAGGGAAACGGAGGATGATGTGAAAAATAGGTTATAGAGCCCTCCCTGGTGGCGCAGCGGGTTAGAGCGCAGCACTAAGAAGCTAAAGCCACTTCAGCATGAGTCCGATCCCGGCCCTGAAGGTGACCACAGGGCGCGGCAGACCTCTCCTGGCCCGCCGCTGCCCCCCTCAGCAGTGGGCTTCGTCAGTCGGCCTGTTCTGCACCCCTCTGTCTCTGGTGAAGCCTCTCCCCGCCTCTGCACCTCTGGCCTGAACCCCAGTTCTGTATGCATAAATAAATCTTTTTTAAAAAAAAATTGAAAAGGAAATAAAGAAATTGCAGGTGGTCTGTTAGAGCAGCCAGGGGAGAAACCCAGGTGTGAAGTGACCGCAGCGAGTCTACTTTACAGCCTGGCGTCTGTCGCCACTGCCAGTGGGCAGAGCCAGCTGCTGCCAGGGACTGTGTGGCTGACGTCTGATCCCTTCTACAAAGAGCAGAGCGGCTCTGTCAGCTGTTGCTGCTGTTCCCATTCTCGGGGACCCTTCGGGCCTCCAGCGCTGGGCCGAGCGCTTGGGTCGGACATTGACTGATGGTGGCCGTCATCGACTCCGAGTGTCATGATTTCTCAGCTCTCTGGGGTATGTTGTACAAGTCTCTAAATTGCCTTGAACTTGCCCTGAACTCCCCCAAGGGCCTGGGGTGACGCTGGGCTGGTTGCTGTGAGGGCAGCAGCCTCCTGCCAGATGCGTGGCCGAGGGGCGTTAGGGTGGTGATCCTGGTGTTTTTGTCTCTGGAACATCTTGAACTTTAAGCACAAAGGTTTCTGTCGTTTTTAAACTTCGGTCCCAAGCTTCAGAGCTGCAGAGCTCTCTCCTGACATCTGTAATTTCCCTGTCCCCAAATTGAATGTTCTAAAAATTCCACCGAACCTTGAGGCGCACCCATGCAGATCCCCGCCGCGAGGTTCCAGGGCGGTGTGCTCAGAGCCTCCTCGGGTGCAGAGACAGGCACACATGCACCGTGGCGGCGCGGTCTCCGCTGCTCCCTGGACGTTTGGCTTCGCCCGGGTCAGCCGGTGGCCGGTGGCTCCAAACCACGAGACAAACTGTGGGTGGTTCCAAGTGACAATGGCCAGAGTGAAGCTGGGGGCCCTGAGGAGGCGAAAGAAGGAAAGAGAGAGTGGCACCCGGGGAGGGTGGCGGCCGGACACAGCCACAACCGGGTGTGACTGTCACGTGTCTGTGGAGAGAAGTGGGGGCGCCGACATTCTGCCAGGAGGGACCGTGCGCTGATGTGCACCTGGGTGCCTGTTGCCCAGGACGGTGTCTGTGTCCCCCCTGGCAGGTGCCCACAGGGCTTCCCCAGGCCTCCATCCACTGGCCCTCATCTCCCTGCCCTGCACCCCCACATTCCCTGCCTCTGTGCTCGCTCTCTTTAGGCTGCTCTGCTACCTCGGGCCCCCTACTTTCTCAGCCCATGGCTTAAAACGTGACTCCCATGAGGCCCCCTGAGGGAGCCGTCCTCTCTCCTTCCACACAGGGTCTTGCCCACTGAGGCTCAGCAGCACCGGTCGCTGGCCCGCGCGGTCACCCAGCGACTGTCCAGACCAGCGGCGCCCAGCCTGAGCCAGCCCCAGGCGCCTCCCTCTCCTGCCTTGCGGCCCGCAGAGCACTCCGGGGCTGGGTCTCCCCGGCACGCTGACTCACGGGAGCCGTCCTTTCTGCCACTACTGGGCTCTGTGGAGACCGGGTCTCCGGAGCCCTGAAGAAGAACCTAGAACACTCCCGAGGCAGCCAGGACTCGCCTTGTGGGGACAGGTGCTGGCTGGAGGCCGCCGTCGCTGGGCTTGGCCACGGCGCCACGCGTCCCTCTCACCCCCCGCAGAAACCCGGGCTGCTGCGCCCCTCTGGTTAAGTGGGGGAGGGTCAGTGCGGAGGGGACGGCGCGCTCTCGAAACCCGCCGGGGCCATGTTCCGTCACTAGCCCGCCTTGACGCCGGGCTGGAGCTGTCCTGGGCGTTCAGCAGCACCCCAGCCAAGGGCGGCCCTCCCCCTCCTCCAGACCACCAAAATCTCTCCAGACACTGTCACGGGGAAGCCTGGGGGCAGTCCCTGCCGGCTGGCACTGCTGCTCTGCCAAAGCCGAGCCAGGGCGGGGCACTTCCGGCCACATACCCCAAGTCGCACACAGCTGAGGGGCCAGCTGGAGCTGCCTCACAGCTGGAGCCACGGGGCGAGGTGGACTCCAGGCGCCGTGTGGAAGGTGCTGACGTCCGTGGCCGGGGCCGTAGAGCCGACCCGAGGTGTAAACAGCCGCATGGAGGGGGGACGCGCTGCCCTGTTCACCCCCACTCTGTTGGGGTTTCATTGTCATTTCATTGCTTTCAGCACCATCAAGGGCACCGGCTCTTCGGAACGTGTCTCCCCTGGAGCGCGGAGGGAAAGCTACGCGGACCCCAAAGGCAACAGGGCCCGCACGGGCTCCGCCAGCAGCTCCTCCAGCGGCAAGAAGAACAGTGAGAGGTAGGGCGGCCTGTCCCCGCGCTGTCTGAGGGCCGCGGCCCCGCCCCGGGGGGGCCGCACCCCCGGGAGCCCTCTGGGGACCAGCGTCGCCCACCCCACGAGCCAACTCCGGGGCTCCCCGCCGCCCAGGCGGAAGAGGGCGGAGCGGGACGGGGTGGGCTGCGCTCGCTGGCCGGAGCCCGGGGTGTGGGCAGCGCTGGGCCTGCCCGCGCGGGTGCTTCGTCTCCCCGGATAGCCGCTGCCCTCGACACCCAGTGGCGTGTTCTGGTCGGCCGGCAGCAGAGTTTCTGACACAGGCGGGGAGGGAAGTTGTAGCTTTAGGATTCAACGGAAACTTTAACACGGAGCCGACGCTGGAGATAGCAACCGTTTCACTCTGCTGTCGCGAAATCCACTTCTGAGCCCGCGTTTTCCTTGGAGGCTGGCGTGCGATGAAGGTGGCAGGTGGCTCTGACTCCACAGTGGCGTCTCTGTGACGCTGACTTCGGCTCTGCACCCGCTTGTGCCTAAGAATGTGTCGTGTGGGAGACCCCACCTCAAATGCTTCAGTCGCCCTCGGGCGCCTCGTGCAGCAGGGCCTGGGAAGAAACTGGCGAGTCACGGCTCTATTCCAAATGTTCATCCCAGACGCCTGCGTCATCAGGCCGCCGGCTCCACGCCACGGCCTGTGAAACCCCACACTTGTGGGTCATTCTGCTCCCGTGCTGTGAGGGAAGCGTGGGCTTTCCGTTTCTCTCCCAGGCGAGGCCTTTCAGAGGAAGAGGCTGGGGCTTCTCACATCCAGGCAGGGCAGGGCCGGCGGATGCACAGGCTCACCGCTGCAGGGTCCAGTCTCCTACGCTTCGTATCAGGTGATGGGGCTCCAGGGTGACGCCCGGGAAGTAGGCCAAGCAGTGCCGTGCCACGGGCCGAGGAAGAAGCGGAGGCCCCTGGGCCAGCTAGGAGCGGCCCGAAACGGCTGGCCCTTGGCCCTCGCTGCAGCTGGCTCCCTTCCTGCACATCTGATTTTTATTAAGAATTTCCCACAACAATCTGCATTGTTAAACCCGGCACTGTTTGATCTCCTGAGTCCCATGGCTTTGGTGATCGTGCTGAGTAAATATTTCCGCACGAGGCATTTCCAAAGAGAATTCTCTTTAAATGCCACAGTAGGAGACTTTGATTTGGAAAGGAGGGACTGGGAGAATTTACTAGTCATTTTCTAAAACAGTCCTGACAGTCAAATGTGGCCATTGGAAAATAAGTCCTTTGTCTCATTAGAGCCCAGGAATAGCTGGGGCCCGCCGGCTGAGCTGGCCGGCCGGGCGGCGTCCGAGGGAACAGCAGTGCTGGCCGAAGCCCGAGGGCCACAGGCTTAAGGCCGCTGCTGCTCTCACCAAGGGAGGCGGCTGCTGAGAGACAAGAGAAGTGCGGTCAGGCTGGGGGCTCCGCGGGCGCCTGGCCCTTTTGTCTCCTCTCTGCTCCCTGTGGGCAGCCCCAGGCCGCCTCGTCCACCCACCACGAGGAGCTGGAGACTTCACTGGCCATGGCCGGTCCCTGGGGCTGAGAACCAGCTAGAAAACTCCAGGGAGGGGTATCCAACGTGGAGTTGGGTGGCTACTTGATTGTGGCCTCACCTCCATCACCCATTGCATCTGTCCGTGGCCCCAGACACTCCGACATCTGTCCGTGGCCCCAGATGCTCTGACATCTGTCCGTGGCCCCAGATGCTCTGACATCTGTCTGTGGCCCCAGATGCCCTCACATCTGTCCATGGCTCCACATCTGTCCATGGCTCCAGATGCTATCACATCTGTCCGTGGTCCCGGATGCTCTGACATATCCGTGGTTCCGGATGCATCTGTGGTCTCAGGCCACCGTCTTACACTGTAAGAGACTGTAGCGGTAACCACCTTCTCATTGCTCTGGGTGGCGAGACAGTAGAAAGGGCAGCGCATGGCGGGGAGAGCCAGGCTGGCCAGCGCTGAGCCTCAGCCTCGCCCTCTGCGCCTTGAGAGCCCTTCATCCTGGGACCTCTCCACCACCACGTTCTGGATTTTCTGTCCAGTCGGACCAGTCCACCATCTGGAGCGGCACCCGCCCGGAGCAGATGCTCTGTAAATACTTTGCTGGATGAACCTTTTTGCCCCAAATAAGAAGAAAGGTGAAAAGCATGAGGCATCACAGCCAGACCAGGGGCTCGTCCTAAACTCGGCCCCTTCCTGTGACGATGTCAACAACTCACGCCGTCGCTTTGGGGGTCCCTCGGTGAGTGACAGCAGAAGGCCCCCAGGCCGCTGCAGGGCGAGGCGGGCCCTGCAGGGAACCTCGGATCGGAGCCCGCCTGCCGTGGCCTCCGCGGCCTCGCTTCACCGCCTGGCGCCTCGGGCCTTTGCTCTCCTGCCCCTGGCCTTGAAATGCATCTCTCCAGGACATTTGGAACCCCAACTCCATTCTCCCCCCACCCCAGCCTGAGAAGGAGGAGTCATGGTTCTGAAGGTCCCGGCACCTTACCCGCTCAGCTCCACAGCACCGCCACCCTGGCCGAGCGCCACGCAGGACACGACAGTGGCAGGTGAGCTGGCAGGTGAGCGGCAGGAGGCAGAGTTGCCCACAGACCGGTTCTTCGACAGACATCAGGGTCTCAGGTACCTGATGAGGACCTTCACTTCCGTTTTCCATCAACTCCGCACAACCAGCCAGATAAAAGCGGCCCCGCTCCATGGAACAGCACCGGGCCAGCTCCTTCCCTGACAGCTCACGGAGGGAAGGGTGATCAAACACGGTCAAGGCCATGCGCATCTAAGGCAGGAAAGAGCATATTCGGGAAAATACTGTAGCTGCGTTACAAATCCCAGCACAGGTAGTAACACCCGTCAACAGGCGAGGAGCCTCCGGGCCTGACGGTAGCACCGTGGTGGGGTTCTCCTCCCGCCTGAGTGACATGTATGCACCTGGAAATGGGGGGAGGTGGTGAGCGACGTTGGCATGAGCTCCGGGACCCTTGGAGACCCAGCCCGGACACCCCGGGCGGCCGGCGCCCTGACCCCTCCGCCCGGTGGGCGCCTTCCCTCCCTGCCTGCCGTCTTCACCTGGCAGCCCCTCTCCCGCACACGCTCGCCCTCCTTGCAAGCCTCAGGAGGCTGGTGCCCTGACGATTCTTTGTGTCACCAGCGTGCAGCACACAGCGTGGTTGAATGAACGAACGAGCCGACATCATGTCACTGTGAGCGCGTCAGCTGTGGGAGGCCTGTGTGCACAGCGCCACCTCTTGGCAGCTGATTTTAACACATGTTAGAGACGTTTCACTCTTCAAGCCAATGGAATCTTCAAAGCTTTTATTAAACAATGCTAGTGCTAATGCTTCTTATATTGTGTTAGTTTTTAGCTGCTGGGTGAAGAGCCTAGACCTGCACGCAGGGGTGTGTCAGTGAAATCAAAAGAGGGAAGCGAGACGAACAGAGATGGCAGAGCCTCACCGGGTCTCAGTTCCTCGTGGGAGACGGGGAGCCGGGCTCCCTCCTCCCCCAGCCAGGCCTCAGACCTCCCCCGTGCAGGCTGCACTGTCAAGGGGGTGTTGTAGGTGGAAATGCGTGTCCCTCAGCGAAGTCTCCAGGGACATGCATGAACAGCTACTAAGCAGCCCATCTCTCTAGCTGCTGCAGGGCAGTGTCCAGAAAGAGCTATTGTTTATTGCGGCAGGAATTTTATTTCATCATGAAAAACCATTTCAGAGGGAGCCGGGAATATGTGTACATCGAGAGTCCAAGTCTTTACCGACAACCAAGACCAAGGAGGAGGGTTACGTTTGACCTCGACCTACTCAAGCCTGCCCAGCAGCCGGACATTGGCCCCGCCCTGCTGGCCACCCAGAGGCCACTCAGCCCACCCTGCCTGTTACACATACCCCCGTTAGGACCCAAACTTCCTGACCCCGCAAGTGCTGGGCTGGGTGAGGTTCCCTCCCCAGGAGACCTGCGCTGAAGACAGAATCTTCCAGAGTTTGTCAGATGGGAGCAAGACAACCGCTGTCAGACTGAGCCGAGCCGAGCCCCTGCCGCCCAGACAGAGGGACGGGGCCTGCTAGCCGGGGGCAGGAGAGGAGGCCCTCCCAGGCCCGCGGTCCGCTTCTCTCGCGTGACGTGACATGATGGAGACCAAGTCGACCGAGTGCCCCTTTGCCCCGGGGCAACCTCACGGGAAAACCAAAATGAAGTGTTGGAGAAATGGGGGGCCGGGCCTGAGCAGGTGGCAGAGGGGAGCAGCACCAGGCCTCACTGGGAGGGGGTTTGGGCGACAGGCGGGCCGCTGCGGCGGCTCGAGAGCAGGAACACGGACAGAGGCCTCCCACGGGCCCGCGGCCGGGCGGCAGCACAGGGCGCTGGGTGGCGTTACAGGGGTGCACAGGAGGCAGGGCAGAAGAGCCGAGGCCCTGTAGGCCCAGGTGCGACACAGGCCCATGCTGTTTGTTGGCCAAAGCTGCAGGCGAGCTCAGAACCCAAGCCTGCGGCTCCCCGCGCCCAGCTGACACGCCTGGGCAAGCACGCACCCCACTAGAGCGTCAGCGGAGGCCCCCAGGGCAGCTTCACCTTATTGAAAGGGGGGCCGGCAGCGGGTGATACCCTCCGTCCGTTACATCGAGTTAAGGCTCGCTCTGCCCACGGTGTGTCCCGCTGTATTTCCAGTGTAGACAGAGGGGGAGCAGCAGGACTTCAGCTGCAAAGCTGTGTTCTCCTCCTCAGGCCCCTGCCCCGCACGGCTCTCTCTGGGGTCTCCTCCATCTGGTACGGCATGTCCACACTTTAAAGAGGGGCGTACGGGGGACACCGGCCTGGCTGTTGGGTGAAGAGCCTAGCACGGCACGCAGGTCCTGTCAGTGAAATCGGAAGAGGGAAGCGAGAACAACAGTTATGGCGAGAGCCTCACCAAGTCTGGGTCCCACGTAGGAGATGGGGGGCCGGGCTCCCCCCAAGCCAGGCCGCATACCTCCCTGCTGAAGCACAGACGCGGCTTCCGTCCATCTGTGTTTGAGCAGGACATGCATCCCATCCACTCGGCCGGCAGGGGGGTGATGGGCCCTTCCTGCAGGGGGCCTGAGTCCAGGGGCCATACTGCCCACAAATGACCACGCCCCCTGCCCGATTCTTCCCTTTCACCCTGGCCCTCTGCCCTTTCACAGTAGCTCCCCAGGGGACGGCCCGGAATGCCCTCTTTCCCAAGGTCTCTGTCAGGAATTTGTTAGTTTTAAATAAGTTCTTTAAGTAATCTATCAGAAGAGCACAGGGATGGGGAACAAAACATTTTCACACCTGGAGACAGGACTTTCCAACCAGACGTTTTCCTTCCCCGACGGTTACTGGCTGTGCCAACGCCAGGCCTGTGGCCTGCTGCCCGGGTCTGGGACTTGAGTTCACGCTCCTTCCCCCTCAGTCACTGGTACTTTTTCCTGCAAAGGCCTGGCGTCCGCCCGGCACCTGGTAACAGAGCAGCTAATGACACGGGGGTGAACGAGACTTGCCCCGACCCCCCTAAAAACTGCTCTTGTTTTATTTCCACAGCAAGCCCAAGGAGCCCATCTTCAGCGCAGGTAAGTCCCAGTTCGCTCTGCACGGGCACCCCCACTCACTGTGTCAGAGCCGGGGGGGCAGAGGGGACGGAGCTCTGGCAGGGGCCAACTTTTGACACGTAGCACGTTACCTGTCGGCCTGTACCCGGGCGCTGGCCGCTGAGGTCAGAGGCTGCGCAGCACGCTGGTCACCCTGTCAGACCCTGGATGGAGCCCTAAGCAGCTGACGCAGGCCCCGTGAGGGGACGGTCATGTCCCGTGCCCTCCAGCGTCCTTTCCCGCCAACGGGCTCTGCGAGCTGCTGAAGCACTGAGTCGTAACTTTGTCTAAAAGTAGCTGTTTTTCTCTTCCTGCCTTTGATTTCCTAAACGCAGACTGCTCGTTCATGGAGATCTTGCATCTCTTTTTCTCAGCACCTTTTGCCCTAAGGTAGATGCTCTCCTTAGGATAACTTTATTCCAAATGCAGAGCACTGGACAAGGACGGGGCTCCACTTGGTCATCTGGGGCCCACCTCTCGGGCTTTCCCCTTACACTCACTATTGCGGCCAGCCGGGCCCTGAAAACGTGACCGCCTGAAGCTTGCGGAGCTAGGTCTGGGGTGTGCTGGTGGGGGCCAAGGCCTGGCCGGGCACCCCCAGGGCAGGCGGCCGCGGCGGAGAGCGAGTGGACGCTCCGGTCTAGCAGCGCCCACCTCTCTCCATCTAGCCCTTCAGTCTCCGAAATCACAAGGGAAACGCCGGGTGACGCACTGCAAAGGTAGGTGGCACTTCTGAGACCTCATAGCTCTCTGAGCCACCGTTACCCAGGCAACAGAAACTTCCACGACGGCAAACGTGGAAATGCATTTTGGGGTGCAAACCTCGATTTGTCCAAGTTAAAAGCCTTCCTGAGCGCTGACTTGGATAGGTTCAAAGAAGTGTCTCTGCTTCTCGATTGACTGCTGGCTGGCCTCAGGAGCTTCTCGTTTTACTCATATAAACCTAAGAGAGCTATAGTGCAACCCCACGTGTCGCTGTTTGAAAGGGTCCCTGCTCGGCTGCTGCCCTCTCCCCTCTAACATCCGGGGTTTGGTGGGTGTATGCTCTTATCCTAACCTGCCTGGAAAAGACCTGCTTCCCCTCCCTGCATTTTGATTTTGGATGTAGAAGTCAGGTTCAACAGCAGGACTCGGGCCCGGCTTAAATCCAGGGCTTCTCCGCCTCACCCAGCAGTTCCGAATCAAGCGCTTGGCGAGTCTCCTTCCTGGGGTGGTGACAGCGCCCCAGGGGCCGCCGCGCTCCGCCTGCCCCAGGTGGGCCCTGGTCTGTGTGGTGGCGCTGACGGCACCTGCTGTTTGTCGCCACGCTCTGCATCAGCAGATCCGATGCAGTCGCTCTCACTTAACTTGAGGCGGCCGCCTGCCCCCTTCCCACTCGTCCGCCCCACTGGGCAGGGCAGCACAGTCTGAGTGCAGAGCCAGGGAAGAGCCTGTGTGAAGGGGCAGGACAGAGGTGTGGGGCGCCAGGAGACATCTGGCCCTGGGGGCTGAAGGAGTGGACGGTGAGATCACATGAGAGTGGTCCACAAGCCAGAGGGCAGGGAGAGGGCATTGACACCCATCTTGGGTCTCGATGGGTTTGGCTGCAAGAGAGTGACCTCAGAACCACAGGGAGAGTGTGGTGATGGGGGCCCAGCTGGCTGGTCCCCGCGGAGCTGGGGGGGAGGAGGGCAGAGCACAAGGACCTCACGGGAGCACTGCCCTGTGCGCTTGGCTCTGACCTGGAGGTCAGACTGGGTCGTCCTCAGGTGACGCCGTGGCGTGCATGCCCTGGGCCCGATTGCATGCTCAGCAGCTCAGGTGGCCTCTTCCTGCCGAGGCAGCGTGCATGTGCATCGTGGGAGAAGCCCGGGGAGTCACTCCCAGGCCGTCTGCCCGGGTTCTCCTCACCAAGTCCGCTCTGCAGGTGACCTGCCTGTTAGGTACAGACATCCCTGGCTCCAAACGCCCAACTTGAATCAGGCGCTTTGGTCTACAGAGAAGTTTCCAAGGGCCCTGAATTCGGCAGGAGCTCACGTGGCCTTTTCTTTGGTCTTGTTAGAACCTGAAAACTCAAGCCAGAGAAGCTGCCGTTGTTTCTTGTTCCAAGTCCGGGATTTGCCCCGGGTCCACACATCCGTGGGGTTTACCTGGCCCCTGGAATTGTGCATCAAGAGTGACTTTGTGATGAAAAGAACTGTGTTCTAGAAAGTCTTACTTGCTGGTTCTTCTCCTTAATTCTCGTTTCCCACTTCTGGCTTCTTGGAGCATTTTCCCCTTTCTGTGCAGGTCCTGGCTGGACTTAGGGGCTTGTGTCCTTCACACCTGAAAGCATGGTCCAGTGTAAAAGACACTGTTCTGTTACATTGCAATAGAAGGATGCAACTAAGTATTGAAAGACATTTAACACCTCTCATACTTGAAGTAACGCTGGCTCTCCGGCCCTGGGCTCGGCGGTCTCACTGGCTTCTCTGTTCTTTTCGTAGAAGAAGGTTATGTAAAAATGTTTCTCCGCGGACGCCCAGTCACCATGTACATGCCCAAAGAGCAGGTGGATTCCTACAGCCTGGAAGCGAAGGTGGAACTGCCCACCAGGAGACTGAAGCTGGAATGGGTGTATCCTTTAGTGGCCGCTCGGGGCCCTGCCTCGGTAGATGCCCTTAGCTTGAAGCTTAACTGCAGAAATGTGTAAAACGAAACTGTGCTGGCAGCAAGTCTGTAAACCCAAGGGGAGGAGGAGCGGTACCGGGAAGGAGCGTTAGCGTCCCCTCCTCAGTCCGGCTGCACCCACCTGCAGGCCTCACCCAGGAGTACTGCTAGTTGAAGGTGGGACTTAGGAGTCTGAGGACCTTAGGGGTTCAGGGTGCTAAATGCAGGATGCACGTTGAGGGGTACAAGTAAAACCCACAGGCAGCACAAATACACCATTTAAAGTAAATTAATACCACCCTCCCCCCAGTCAGATCCAAGCCACCAGGACCTGAGTCAGCTACGTGACTGACGTTCTTGACATGAAGCTGCTGGAAGCTTCGAAGTGGCATTCAGAATCGTGGATGAGCTTCCCGGGAGAGAAGGCTGGGAAGACGGGAAATCAGGCCTCAAGAAGGGTCCTCAAACTGTCGTCATTATAGTTAGAAAGAAGCCTCACGCCTCAGATTCTGGAGTCAGAGACTCTGGAAAATGTGCCCCCAAACAGGTATTTGATTTTTCAGATTCAGCCCTCACTGCCCCTCAGCTGCCTCTGCCCTGCCGGCCGTCCGGCACGTGTGTCTGCAGGGATCCAGCTCTTCGTCAGCCGAGAGCTGCTTCGGTTAAGTCCGAGCTGGGAAGCAGGCGCAAAGCCTGTGTGTGCAGCCCTTCCTACTCATATTCTAGGTGTAAAGCAGTGGAATCGATTCTAATAAATGCTGTTGTTTCACAGGGCAGACCCCAAGCCTGCCCCCTCTACATAGGTTCTGCCATTCGCTGCATCCAGACAACACATACAGGACCTTTAGTCAAAAGGGACTTTAATACAATGAGTGTGCAGTGCAGAAAAGACAAGCATATAGTTTCTAAATCAAACACCCGAACTCACCCCTCCCCTCGTGGGTAAAAGTCCACCCAAAAGGGGTGGCCCAAAGCAAGGCCCGAAAGCTGCCACAGTCCAACGCACCTTCTGGCCGGGACCCGTAGAAAAGGGTCAGAAATGGCCAGAGAAGTCTGGGAGGAAAGGAGCAACATCAACATCAAGATAAATGCTGCCATAGTCACCCCCCCACACACAGGTCTCTCACCCACGTCTGTTTCACCCAGTTAAGGCCAAGAACAAGGGTCGCTTCTTCACACGTCTCTGCTCCACGTGGCTCCTTCAGGTCTCCTGGCTCCATCCTGCTTCCGTCCTCTGTAGTAGCTCCAGATTCCTCGCCTCCCTGCTCAGCTGGGTGGGGCAGGGAACCTGGAACCTCCCTTTTCCTGGGGACCCCCCTGTTACACTTTTACCGGGTTATTTTCATGTCCACGTTCAAATGGTAGATTGCTCTTGAAATAGTTTTCAAGATTGGGACCTTTACAAGCCAAAACCTCAGCAGAAGAAATTATTTCTAAAGACCGAATGGCTGGGGCAAGAAGGACCCACGTTTTGTACCTGCTGTAGGTGTGTGTGTGGAACTTCCACCTTTTACAGCTACTTTTTATAATGTGAAACATGTTTCAGCTCCTAGATTAGAGCAAAAGTAAATTCATATTACGTCAGCAACTGAGGTCTATAAAGCAATTCCCAGAACCTTAAAAGTGATTTTTAAATCCCCATGTGTAAGGTTGTCAAAGCCTAGAGGTTCACCGTGGGAGAAGCCTTCACAGCCTCACACCTCCTGAGCAATGTAGTCATTTCACATCCCCAGCCGACGGCCAAAGCCGGGCCAGGCGAAGGATTCCGCTGGGTCCCGCCCACCAGGCTCTCCTGTGGCCGCCGTGGGGGCACCCTGCCCAGATCACACATGTGGCTCACACGACGTGACGCGTCATTGGCAGGTGGCAGGCTCAGTGCTCCGTCGCTCCTCTGAGTCCAGTTCCCAGGTCAGGCCCTGGGACTGCAGCGGGACCTCAAGGGCCACCCGACAGCGCAGTGGGGCTGAGCGGGGCCAGAGTGCCGCACAGGAAGGACGAGGGAAAGGCCTCCCCGTGTTTCGTGGAATTAGGGTCAGGTGCATCGTCCAGTGACTAATCCTAATGCCACAGCAGCTGGCCCTTGAGATCTCGGTGGTGCAGGCGCTAAGTCTCAGGGCTCTGAAGCTGCCCCAGCCACTGTGGCCTGAGTATCCCCGGCCAGGGCCAGGGAGTGACCCCCGGGGCGCACAGACCCCTCCTGTCTCCGTGCCTCTCCCCTCAGCAGTGGATTTCAGTCGATCCGCCTGCTCTGCTCCCCACTCTGTCTCTGGGGAAGCCTTTCACCCCTGCACCTCGGGCCTGTCCCCCAGCTCTTGTATGCATAAATAAATAAAATACATCTTTAAAAAACCAAAAATAAAAAAAGTTGAGGCAGGCCCGCCGGGGACGCGCAGGCCAGTGTCCGTGTGAAATTGGGCCGTTCACCAAGAACCGGCTTCTGGCCTCACAGCCCAGACCCGGGCCTGATTGCTAAACTGAGAAGCCTTCACCTCCTGGGAAGTCACTCCCCAGAAGTCTGGCCCAGTGACCTTTGGTAAATAAAACGATACAAGCCAATCACCTCAACTTTCCAAGTAGACCACGTACTTTCTACAAACAAACCGCACCTTTGCACATCAAGGCAACAGTGGTCACGAGCTCAAAGCCTGCTGAGGGCCAGGCGGGCAGGCACCAAGGGTTTGCAGTTTCAAGCTACTTACATGAACAGACTGGGTGATGACAGCCCTAGGATTCTGTGGCCAGGGGCTTGGGGCCACGCTGGTGCCCGGCCAGGGGCTTGGGGCCACGCTGGTGCC